ACATCCAAATAAATTGAATCTCAATTCATAATCAACCATTTGATATCATGCACACAATATATGATTCAAACATTCATGATATTCTCAATATTTTATTCCAAGTCATTTGATATTCAATATCTCAACCATGCTCTTAAATTATTCTTAATCTAAGGCCAAATCATTTTATAACAAGCTCTTAGCTATTCCTAGTCTAAGGCAACATTTCTAACCAGGCCCTTAAACTATAAATAGTTTAATGCAGAACACAAGAATCGATAATCCACCCTAAGGGTCATGTGGATTACGTACCAACCGAACAATGATTTGTCGGGTGGGTAATATCCGGTCTCGATCCCGTACGTACGTTTTAACCCGAAATATGAATTGGTCAAGTAGGTATATCTTAGAGTTCTTCTAGATATCCTTAATAATCATCATCAATATACAAGTGGGTATATCTTAGAGTCCTTCTAGATATCCTTAACAATATACACTGTTTTCATAATTACCATTAATTCATTCATTTCTTTTAATCATGACTTAATCATCAATAATCATTTTAATCAGTAGGTTTATCATTCATAATTATCCATAATAATTATTCATCATAATGATCATTCAACATAATATTTAATAGCAAACAGCGGCCTAGTCTCGGGTGTTAACACCCGAATTTATCGTCATGCATCACATAATGTTTTATATGCCAAAAACATCATTTATTATACAAAATCATATTTAATTTGTTCTTAATTAATTAGTATTTTCAAAGAATATTTCCAAGAATATTTTCGGGACACTGGAATTGAGGAAAAATCGATTTATTCAATAAATTAATATAAAAATTGATTTTTGAATATATATTAATCCATTAAATTTATAAAATCGATTTTTCAACATATTTTAATCGATTAATTTGAAAAATCGATTTTTCAACATATTTTAATCGATTAATTTGAAAAATCGATTTTTCAACATATTTTAATCGATTAATTTGAAAAATCGATTTTTCAACATATTTTAATCGATTAATTTGAAAAATCGATTTTAATATATATTTTAATCGATTAAATAAAAACAAATCGATTTAATACCTTAATATAATCGATTATTTTTTTTATTTTGATACACGTTATCTGAACAAGTTTTAATCGACTTTTAGGAAGAAAATAATCGATTTTCGATCACTATTCATCGTCTTCTACCTTCGGTCCATTTTCGGACATATCAATTTTAGTTACCAAACTTCAATTAAACTATATAGAAATGTTCTCCAAGGTTCATAGATCATTTTAGAATTATTAAAACATATTTTTAACATCAAATTCAAGGTTTATGATTCTTGGTTCTTCAAACATGTCAAACACAAAACTCAACCAAATGGCCATTTATGAACTTAAAAACAACCTATATGAACATTTTAATCTTTAGATATATCTACGGGCTTACCTTGAAGCGTAGGGGAGGTTTTGAAGATTTTCCGGCGAACCTTCCGGTGACTCTATCTCACTGCTCCGGCGACCTCACACAAAGATGACAGCACCACTGCACTCTACTCTCAGCAAGGAACAATATAGAAGGAAGAATGAATTGTTTTGGTGATGAAATGAGGGAGTTGGGTTGTCCTTAAATAGCCCAGGGAAGAAGAAGAAGACACAGGTTTGCAGCTTCCGTGATTGAGCGACGATTTGGAATCGGCATCATTGAACAGGGCGCCGTTTGGTGTGTAGTCCCTGATTGGGACTAATTTTGGTCCCAGTTAGGGTACACTTTTTGTTCCAACTCCCTCCAAATTGAAATCCGATTGAACCGTTGGGATCAGACAGTCAAACTCTACATAATGATATGATTTTCATTATTTATTGACAAACTTTAGAATTTACTTATTTTTGGGTCCTTCTCAGTAATTAATTAATTATAAATTAATTAACTCTGATAGGCCTATTTTTGGGGCGTTACACTCCTTACCGTGGTTACCTTTCAGTGGTATCGGAGCCAACGTACAAAACTATAGTTTTTCGTAGTACTTTTCGGTTGAAAATAATTTTTTAACTTGGTAATTATTTGTTAATTTCGAAAATTAGTAAAATGATTTATTTTAGTCTTGGAATAAATATTGGACTTAAATAAATCATTAGAATAAATATTCATTATTTATTTGTGCCGAAAGTATGTATTTTTATACATATATTCGGAAATTTCGAATATATATTAATATATATATTTCGAAATTGTGAATATAATTTTATTGAACATAAATTTTCATTTTATGGTTAGTAAAATTATATTGTAATTTTGGAAATTGTTTATTTCCAATTTTTGAGTTAATTGTATTTTTTTAGATTTAATTCTAATAAATCTTAAATAAATATTGGAAACTAAAAAATGAACTTTATGAAACTTGGAAATATTATTTCTAGGTGAAATAAAGTTGTTCATAAATATATTGGACAAAATAATATTAGTTAGTAATTAATTATATATATATTTCGGTATATATATATTACCGAGTAATATATATAGATATATATATATTAATTGAAAATGGCTAATATCATTTTGGAAAATTAAATCTCAGTAAAAAGTAAGTTGATTTTTCTAAATATTAAATTTTGTAATTTAATGATTTTTGAAAAATGGTTTAAAATTTATTTCGCAATTATTGAGATATAATTAATATATTTGGGAAATAAATATTTATAAATTCTGGAAATTTATTTTTCCAATTTATAAATGTATAAAATAGTTACTGGAAGTTGGAAATTAATTTTCACGATTCTTTCAAATTTATTTCAAATTTAGAATGAATTTTGGAATAAACTTTGCACTAGGGGCATTATCGTAATTCTGTGTTTCCTGGAAATTTATTTTCCGTTTTGCCCCTGCCCGAAAGTCTCTTAATAGATTTAGGATGACTTGGTAAAATTTCATAATTTTTGGACCAATTTATGAATTTTTATGAATTTTAGAAAATATTACCAACGTAGTATTTTTCTAGAATTGTCGGGGGCGAGCGCGGTTCGCCCGGTGTATGTATATCTCTATTGCCTGTGTGGATGTATGATATGCATGGTGGATGATTGTGGCTATAGTTTATTTGATTATAATACGGCCTGCGTGCCGTGCCTTATCTTAAAACTCTCGTTGTAAATCTATTTCTCTCTCTTACCTCAACCGAGGATTCTTTTCTCACGTGGTGGTTAGAAGATAAAAGGATTTGAAGTTCACTCGAGGGAATCTAAAGGAATGGAGATAGCCGAAAGTCCAAATACCTGGAAGTCAGTGGGAGCTATCGTTTTATTTTCTTTTAGGGGCCACAATCATTACACGTTTATTTACTGCGTATTTTGAATGCATGTGAGTGTATGTTTAACGCTAGTAAATTGACACGTGCGCGGCATGTGTCGTAGGTGAGATCGTAAATTTTAAAATCCCTCGAAATATTAAGTCTGTATTGCCTTCCGGCTCCCGGCACCTTTCCGGCTAATGTGCACTGTCACGTACTCAGCCCTAGCAGAGCGTAGTACGGTGTATGTTATGCTAGTCACGGGAATCACTTAAGTGGTCATTGTCAGACGTTGGGTTAGACTTAACTGAGTCTCGGTCAAATGGATGGATGACTCAGAGGCGGTTTTTGTTGGGGTCACTATACTGACAAGTCGAATTACTTTACTCACGCATCCAGCCAGAAGTTGGGTCTCTATGACTTAATTGGGCTTGGCCCTAACTAAAGTAGTTGTGCATGTGGTACGTGCCAAATCCAATGAGATGTATAATGAAACGGTGTTCTGGTCCGTTAGTAGTATTGTCGTTCGCCCAACACAAGACCAATAACTGTTAGCACGGCTTACAGTTGGAACTATGTTCCTACCTAAATAGTTAAATTCTAGGTACGAACCTCAGGTCAACTGGAATTTAATGATATATGGATCTTGGCCCATTAAGAGAATCTCCAGGAGAATCTCCGAATCAACATTGAGGGTTGTTGGTTTGTTAAAATAGTGGGAAATAATTAATTAAAAGGCCTAATTAATTATTTAACATGATAGATAACCTAGTTTGCAATTTCATTCTGTAGATGGCATCAAATAACACGTACAGTCATTCCATCAACCTGCGCTATATCCTCGAGAGCCAAAAACTCTCCGGGGAAAACTTTCTTGACTGGGAGAAGAACCTTCGAATCGTTCTTGACTGTGAGAGGACACTCTACATCCTCGAAACAGATCCTCCCAAGACCCCTGCAGCTAATGCTCGTGCGTCCGAACTCACTTCCTTCAAGAAGTATGAGGACGACGCGCGAGATGTTAAGTGTATCATTATGGACAGTATGACCGCAGAACTCCAGAGGCTCCAAGCGGACATGGAAGTGCATCCTATGATACAACGCTTGAGAGACCTTTACCAGGGTCAACCCCAAAACTCAGATATTTACGTTATTGAAGTCAACATGTCTGATTTCACCTCTTGGGTGATGGATACCGGATGTGGTTCTCACATCTGCACTTCTATGCAGAATCTGCATGAAGTTAGACATTTGACTGAGGGAGAAGTCCAGCTTAAGGTCGGAAATGGATCACTTGTCAATTCGCTGGCTGTACGAACTTATGTTCTCTCTCTCCCTAGTGGCTTGTTGTTGCATTTAAACAATTGCTTATTTGTACCTGCCATTAGCAGGAATATCATTTCTGTGTCCTGTCTTGACAAAGCAGGATTTTCTATTAACGTCAAAGACAAGTGCCTTTTGGTTTTCAGAAATTATATTTACTATGTAACTGCTAAGATGACCAATGGTCTTTATATCTTAGACTTAGATGCCACTGTTTATAACGTAGATGTTAAGAGAAGCAAACCAAACAGTTTGAATCTCACATACCTTTGGCATTGTCGTTTGGGCCACATTAATGAGAAACGCATATCTAAGTTACGTCACTCTGGCGTACTTGATTCATTTGACCTCGAGTCTTATGATGTATGCCAATCTTGTTTACTCGGTAAAATGACAAAGGCTCCATTCACTGGTCACGGTGAAAGGGCGAGTGATGTATTAGGCCTCATACACTCTGATGTATGTGACCCAATCAACACTGAAGCCAGAGGTGGTTTCTCATACTTCGTAACATTTACTGGCGACCTTATCGGTATGGATATGTGTATCTCATGAAACACAAATTGGAATGCTTTGACAAGTTCAGAGAATTCAGAAACGAAGTAGAGAAACAATTAGGCAAAAGTATCAAGACCCTCCACTCGGATCGAGGAGGTGAGTACTTAAGCCTGGGGTTCGACGACTATCTAAAAGAGCACGGGATCCTATCCCAGCTGACTCCTCCCGGTACACCCCAATTAAATGGAGTGTCTGAAAGGAGAAACCGAACGCTGCTCGATATGGTTCAGAGTATGATGAGTCTGACAACATTACCAGAGTCTTTTTGGGGAAAAGCACTATTAACAGCCGCACACACACTCAATCGCGTACCATCTAAGGCTGTTGAGAGCACACCATACGAGTTATGGCGTGGGACAAAACCAAATTTGTCGTACTTGAGGATTTGGGGTTGTGATGTTTACGTTAGACGCCTCATGACGTCTGGTAAGCTAGATTCGAAATGTGACAGGTGTAAATTTGTGGGATACCCTAAGGAAACGAAAGGGTATGAGTTTTATCATCCGACCGATAACAAAATCTTTGTTGCTCGGAACGGAACCTTCCTTGAGAAGGAGTTTCTCTCTGCTATTTCTAGTGGGAGAAAGGTAGACCTCGAAGAAATTCGAGAACCACAAGAAGAGATCTCAATATTAGTGGAACCCGAGCGTCAAGATTTAGTATCTCGACCGGCTCAGGTTTTACCACGTAGGTTAGACCGGATGCGTAATCCTCCGGTTAGATACGGTTTCCTTGTATCTGATGAAGGTGACGTCTTGCTGGTAGACCAAGGCGAACCTGAGACCTACCTCGAGGCAATCACGTGCCCCGAATCCGAACAATGGCTTAATGCCATGAAATCCGAAATGGAGTCTATGTACACAAACCAAGTTTGGACCTTGGTTGATGCGCCCGAAGGGATAAAACCCATAGGGTGCAAGTGGATTTTCAAAAAGAAAACAGACGTAGACGGGAAGGTTCATACCTTCAAAGCTAGATTGGTAGCAAAAGGTTATAGACAAATCCATGGAATTGACTATGA